TGAGATTGATGGTTTTCTACAGTTCCTTTGTTCTAAACTGTGCAAATCAAATCGCCTCTTCCATAGCTTGCTGCCGTGCACTAAGATGTTATCTGCAGTTCTTAGTGGTTAAAATCATATCTTTGATAATGTCTTTTGAACCATTTTTCTTGAGGGTTTAGGATCCTTCTTCCTCGTGTAATTGTAAGCAAAGTGTTCATATTATTGCTGAAGCAACCAATAATACTACCTCCGTTACAAGTTATGTGCAACGATTAGACATTTTCATTCTCTGCTTTATGTCAAATCGTTGCACATAACCTGTAACGGAGGTAGTATATGGAAATTTTGTGTAGAACTGTCCTAAAAATAGGGTCGTTTGTGAACAACTACCCATTTTTATTTTATTAGTTTAGAACTACCTGCAAGTTTGAAAACGTTTGAGTAGCACTACCCAGTAACGTTTTCTATCAAATTAAGACGTTATTAGAGCCCACATTTTCACTTTTACCACTCAATTTAATCCCCCAATGTATTTAAAGGTTTTTATTTACTGTAATTAACCTAATTAAGGTTTTAATTAGGAATTCATTTTAGGATTCATAAGTTTAGTATTATTTGGGGATCTTGATTTCTAAGATTTGGGGGTTAATTGAATTCGAATTTTTGCTTATTTTGGCATTAATTGACTATTGTAATTGACAAAAGTGAAAAATTGGGCCAAAGTAACGTCTTAATTGGATGGAAAATGTTATTGGGTAGTGCTATCCAAACGTTTACAAACTTGCGGGTAGTTCTAAACAAATTAAAAAAAAATGGGTAGTTGTTCACATATGACCCTATCTTAGAGTAGTTCTACACGAAATTTCCCAATAATATATAGATCTTTCTTGTTCTCAGAAATTCTGCCATATGAGATGCGCTTTAAGTTTACAACCTTTACATGGTAAAATGAGCTCATGTGCAACTCTCACCAATATGCTTTAAATATAAATGGTTAAGAATTGCAACCACATGCTTAGCTTGTATTTTCAACACTACCAAAAGCCATTTTTTGAACTCTGAATTATAAGTTAAGAGCATGAATAACAGACCGACAGTTTGCATTCTGAAGAACTCAGATATAATTTCTTCTTTTCTTAAATTGGAGCTTGCTTACATATATTGAGCCACTGAAGAATCAAAATTAGTCGTTCTCTGTATGTACTGAATTAAGTGATGTTATGCTACAGGCAAGTCTTAATGCATGTCAAGCAGCTGATGTACCAGGCTACCAGCTAGGTGTTGCAGAAAGATGACAAGATCAGAATGAGGACAAATAAAGGTGCATATAGATTGTGTTGTCTTTTATTTTGATCTTCCTATTTTAAACTAGAAGCATGCATGCACTCTTCTCCAAACCCAGTCAAATGCAGGTATATGTACTTTGAGAACTTGCTATACGCCTTTATATATATACGTCCTCCAACCAAAATACATTACTCCGTAATATTCACATACAGTATCATGAGAATTTTGTTGTGCATGGTCATCCTTCAATATTACTTGTAATCCATAATGGTTTGTGATCATTGATTAGCATCATTTGGAGTATTAATTGACAGGTAGATATGTCAGAGGGCCTTTTTAAAATTTCATGGCTTATTTTAAATACATAAAGAAGATCTCAATAGAATGGCACCAGGAAATGGCGGAACGGCTTCGACAACGACTAGAACACCGTCATGGAGAGAGAGAGAGAGAACAACAAGAGAAGAGAACGAAAGCGTAGAGCCATCGCTGCTAAAATCTACTCCGGGCTTCGAATGTACGGGAGTTATAAACTACCCAAGCATTGTGACAATAATCAAGTTCTTAGAGCTCTTTGTCATGAAGCTGGCTGGATTGTTGAACCTGATGGCACTACTTATCGAAAGGTTTGTCTGTCTCTTTCGATCTTTTCTTATTCATACATTATTATTCGTTGCGTAAATCTTTGTAGGACAGAGGGAGTATACGAAATAATAAAATGTAATTGGATGACCGGAAATGATAATGTAAAGGGAGGGTTGATATGATATTAATTACTTTATTGAGTTTAATAAGTTTCATACGAGTATTATTTTATGTCATCCATCTTAAAATTGAAGGGGATCAAGGTTAAGATAAAGTTAAAATAAAATTAAAATTTGTACAAGTTAAGATAAAGTTGTACTAATATTTCTCCATTAATCAAGGCTTGATACAATGCAGCACTACCACAGTACACTGAACACCATGAGAAAAATTTAATGAGATTCACGTAATTATTTGTGATTTCTAACTAATTATAAATTTGCACGATTTAAGTCAAGTACGGAGTATTTATATACAAGCACTTGGATTTGTTGGTATCTACAATTGACTCGTAACAACTTATAAACTTATTATTAGTCTATTACGTAATAAACTAATAATGGTTGTGAATTATGGAGTATGTAGTTTCTCATCCAAGAAGATTTGAACCACAATCAATGGAATTACTATTACTGTTTAACTCTTACATGTAGAAAGGGGTATAAAGGACTTGCTAATTTCTTGGCAATAATTGATTTTTTAGTTTTTGTTTCTGTTATAATGTAACGACTCATATGTACTCCTTAGCCAAAATGGTAAAAATAATGATCATCAATTCTTCTTGGACTTTTGTTATTAAAAATAATGCACCATGGACCATAATTTCCATTTGACCGTATCTTATTCCATTAATTATTTTTATACACCACGCATAATATCATATGTTAATTTTGTTTAATTATTAATGGCTTTTTTAGGTAAAAAGAATGAATTTTAAAAACTGATTTATGTAAATGTTGACCAAAAAAATGGTGGAAGAAAGGATATGGTAAGACCTCATAATTTTTATTGAAAAATGACTAAAATACCCTTTTGCAAAAGGTTTTAGCCTTTTGTGAGATATAGGAGTAGGGGCAAATATGTCAAATGATAGGGCTTAGTAGTAGAAGTGTGGCAGTGCTTTGCTCAGCTAGTGTGATTCTCTGAGCAGTGACCACTAGTTGTGATGCAAATTCGGCTTTTGTCAGAAATCATGGGATTCAATAATTTAAGGGTCAATTTTACTGCGTATTTTCTGACTACTTTCGTACATTTTGTTGCATAAGGAATTAATGATCATTTTTATTAAGATTTATTCTTAAAACAGTGGAAATCGTTTTACTTGATTTATCTTTGGAATTTTGGGTAGGATTTTACCCCATACTTGTTTGGTAAGAATATTTTAGTGTAAATCGATTCGATTCATTGTGGATGAGAGTTAGTGCTCGTGTGTAAGTTATGTAAGAACGATCCTGACAATCATCCTGTCAAAAAAAAAAAAAGTTTATGTAAGAAAGTATATAAGTAGTACAAAGTATGGACAATTTGATTTTTGGGTAAATTCAAATGAATTTTAAGCTAAGGTGGACTAAATTATAGTTTGGGTACTTGACCATAAGGCACGACACGATAGGATGAATGATGTAGGGGTGAGTGTGCGAGGATGTGAGTACGTGACTACATGATGAGTTATGTATGTTTATGAGTTATGTAGCTTGAAGGCGTGATAGCGTGAGTGTGTGGTGTGTGGTTACGCGATGCCAGACTAGACGTCCTCCTTTGCTCCATTCTTTACATTAGACATATTTCATGTATTTGTTTGCCCAAGAAAAAATTGGAAATTTTAACGTTACTTGCTAAAATAAATTCTAAATCTCATGTATTGTTATGCTTATTTGGCTTACACTTTCATAGGTCCAATAATTGTTTCTTTTAATGCAGGGGTGCAAGCCTATCAAACCCTTGGGCATCACAGGCAGGTCTATATCAGCAAGTCCATGCTCATCGTACCAACCGAGCCCTAGTTCTTCTTTCCACCCGAGCCCTGCATCCTCCTCTTTAGCAAGCCCTGCTTCATCTTCTTACACCGCAAACACAACTTTTCTCCAAGGGACTTCTCTGATTCCATGGCTTAAGAACATGTCACCACCACCCTCGTCTTCCAAGCTACCTCATCTCTACATTCATGGGAATTCCATTAGTGCTCCTGTAACACCTGTTTTGTGCTCATCCCCTTCCTCTCCGACATTCAGCCTTGTCTCTTCTCATCATCCATTTGGTGGATTCTTTACTGCAAATGCTGTCGTTGGAGGTGGTTCTCCTCGAATGCTGTCGCCTTTACAAAGTGGAACTTGTTCTCCTGCTATTCCTGCAGGTTGTGATCACAGTGCTGGTGTTCCAGTGTCTAGAATGATGTCAGATGAGTTTGCTCTCAGGAGTAATGCCAAGGGACTTCTCAAAGCATGGGAAGGAGAGATCATTCATGAAGATTGTGGATCCGACGATCTTGAGCTCACACTTGGATCCTCCAGGACAAGGTACTTTTGAGTTGAATAGCATAATTCACTACAAAGAGGCTGCACATTTGGCTAATATATGCCTGACTCGTAATGAATTTTCTTGCAGGTAAGAGATTCGGACACTGGGAAGTGATGCAGCTAGGTCTAAATTAACAAAAACCTGATATGCTTTATAATGGAAGATTAAAATTTATACTGATCATTGTCAATTAGCTGTTTGGTAGCTTATTAATAGTCAAGAGAAGTTAGTAAATCATGCATCACTAGTAGTGTTGCTCGCAGATGTTTTATTCTAATGTTTTGTACTGACTTGGTTTCATCGTTACAATCTGCAACCGCGTGTTAGGTTTGCATTTGGAAACTGAAACTCGTTTTAAATACAGTGATTGGAAGTTAAAACTGTCATATATTTCTAACTTTTGAGCTTCTCATGCTCTTATGATCCCTTTTTCTCCAGACTTTTATGGATATATCTTTGTAATGCATAATCATGCATCCATTATGGTTTGCTGGTACTCTCGTAGCATGCTACTATGGTATGTAGATCGTTACCCAGCCTCCTAACAAGAACCATCAAACGTATAGCAATACCTCTTTGAAGCCCTTGCCTCCAAACACTGAACATCAGTGACTTCAAAACATGAGGGCATTAAGGCAGGGGAAGACGCAAAGCTTAGGCAATTTCAACATTTCAACAATTAATGTTAATATTTACAATCAGATTGTTTCGAAAAACTTTCTAATTTTAATGATTATTAACCGTAAACACAAATCAATATTTGTAAATTTTGCTGTACAATTGTATACTCCGTTAAGTGCCTTTTTAGAATAATTAAATCAATGAGATGGCGTAACTTGAAGAATAAGGAGGCTGACAGAATCCACAGTTGAGACCCAAGCTTGGGACGAAGCCAATATATACAAATGCTTCAGACCTTCATCCCTCCAATTTCTGATATAAATCTGTTAGTGCATCATAGAGGATAGCAGCAGCAGGAGGTCGTGGCAATGATCCAAGCAAAATGTCAGACGCCTTCAGAGATGAATTGCCATAAAATCTGGAATTTTCTTTATGGCGAGCTGTAACTATATTACTCTCAAGGGAACAACCAACAAATGCACCTGTACAATCAATGATGTAAATCAGCCATTAGATTACTCATCAGAGCTAGGTAATGATTAAAGGAATGTTATAAGCTCTTCAACAGCGGGTCAACTATTAAGCTTAAGCCAGTAAAGGAAACGCTTTCAGATAGTAATGTTCAACTTAAGGAATCAAGAAATGGTAATTAAAAAACATTCAAATATATAAATGCAACTCCATGACTGAAGCCTCAAGTCAGGTCTGTTAATATCAGGCAAGTTTTCCTGCCCATATATTCAGCTCCACTTGCAATTCTCTGTTGCAACTTCTTTTCAGCTATAAAAGTATTCAATTATGACAAATCACTCAAGATACCATTCTATTGTGCTAAAATAAGTCGATAATCAGCATAACACATATGCACCAACAGTCCCAATAATGTAGTACTAATTTCTCGCCTATCCCCACAATCTACCAAATGGCAGTGGCTTGCAACTGGGGAGAAAATTTGACCAGATTTTTTAGCATAGATTCCTCTGGGAAACCAAAATCTCTCTAAAAAAAATTCATGATACTGAGTACTGACTACTGATTCACAAATTATATACCCAACCTGGCATCACTCCAAGGTATTACATTATATACCCAACCTGGCATCAAAGTAGTCTACTGTCTACAATTCTACATGCACAAACATGCTCTGTGGTCTAGAATATGGACCCTTCACATTAAAAAATAAAAATTAGAAAAGTCTACAGCATTGTAAAATAAATTCCAAAAATGTGAATAATGTTTAGATAAAATAAAGAAATAAAAAGAGGTGTCAATCAATTAGCTGAAAATTTTGCAGCAATGTACCTTTACTGCAGCTATATGTATAACATGCTGCTACACCTCCATCCCCAGCACGTATATCTGCTTCTGCGGACCTTCCCACAACACCAGCAGATGCACTCATTCCAGCACCAAAAGATATGTGCATATTTCCTCCAAACATCTTGACAGCTTCACTAGTTCTCAACACAATTATAAAATCTGTACATTGTCCTCCTACCTGTAAAACAATGCCATCATCATCACCTTTATATTCAAACCTCATTAACTCGCAAATTCCACATGAATTGGGGGGAAAAAAAGGTTAGGGAAGGTTTAAAATGAATCACAATCAAAATGGAGATAACATTTAGTGGTCCAATACTCCAATGACTAGATATCACATACAATTAAACATGAAATCAGATTATGAAAAAAGATTTATTATTTTTTGGGGAATTTGGATGAACAAAAGAATTAATAAATGAAATAAAAGCAAGAGCCAAGAGGAACACCATAAACAAGACCAGGGCTTCAATATGTACATCATTTACAGGACCAAGATTCATAACAATGCTAATGCTCATTATAAAAAAGGCCACCCTTGTTGCAAATCAGTGAAACAGCTAGGCAATAACTCCATCAAAGGACAGCTATAGACACCACTTTATCCCTTAAGGACTCTCAGCTAGAACTTTTACCCTGAAAGATGCAATCATTCCTTTCCATTCACAAAACCAAGGAATAGTCACTCAACAAGCTACCTTTCATAAGATTCTCCTTCCCTTAAGCCTCCCAATTGTAATTTAATGCACAAACAAATTATCCACGTGAGGTAGCAAACACACTCAAAGATTCAAAAAAATGCAAACAACCTGTCCTAGGGAAAGGAAGCCAGCCTCCTCACTACCAACACATAAGACAGACAAATTAAGAGATGGACTATTATTCAATCTTTTTTTCCTGCAGATTTTCTATAATGCTAAGCCAATCCAAACAAGTAGGCACATGCAGTCTGCATGAAATGCCTTTTATTCATAGGGAAGTTAGCTTTTTAAAAACATTTGGTGAGTGGAAGAAGACCTAATCTGTAATTGTCTGAAACTGAGTTACTTGGGTAAAACGAACCCACAAAAGAAGAAACCCCCAACCAATTCAGAGGCAAGCAAAGACCCTGAGACTTGGGACTCGATTCATGTCAGATGATGTCTAACTTATAGATACTGAGATTTTGAATATAAACATTGTATCTGACAGGGTTTTCTATATCCTTTGACAAGGTGGTGTGGGGGGGGGGGGGGGGGGTTAAACACTTCTCAGTCCTACAGACGTTAGAGAAGTATTTTGAAGGCATTTTTCCGTGTTTTCATCACGTAAATGGAAAAATGTAGCTTCTCTCCCAATTCCATGCTTCTAGACAAGTAGGCAACACCAGGAAAGGAAGATATTCGTATTCCCACTGATTTATTTAATCTTAAATGGAATTTAGACGTAAGCTTTCATCCTTTCCAATCATATGCACCAGCAGGCCAGCTGCATGACAATAAATCACAATTTCACCCATAATACAAAACATGAAAACAGGCTCTTTCAAGCTGAGATCAAGGAGATTCCAAATTTTAGCTTATGAGTTGTCTAGTGACCTGAGACTATAGCTCGTCACGAGAATCACATGCGTCTTAATGAAACTTCCAAAAAAGCAGAGTTGCAATGATGCAGGACACTGTATCACCTCAAAGTGCTTTGTAAAACCCCTCCTCCATGTATATGTTGAGAAATTTTCAATTTCCCTTTTTGTTTGGTACACCCAGCCACCCAAGTTTCCACAAAAGAATGCTGAAATTTCATCAGATATTTGGTAATATCTATGCATACTTCTTCTGTTCACTAATAGTTGCACTGTTTCTCTTATAAAGGTCAAATTAAATTTTTTTAATTTAAATTTTCATTAATATACAAGGAAAAAATTGTCACATGATATTTTATGATTTCATCTCAATGTATATTTTCATAATGTTAAGATTTTATAACTTTTACTAATCTACAAATAAAATAATATGGTTAAACAAGTGCATTAGAGATTGTGTCACCGGAAATATATGGTGCAACTATTAGTGAACGGAGGAAGTATAGTGCAAAAACAATTTGATCCTTTTAAACATTGTTTCATAGAGGTGAAACATTTTTTTGATTTGAAAATATGACAAGGTGAATATCATCAAAAAGGTACTCATTGATATTTAATACATCAACAATTCAACAGCCAAAAAATAAATGAATAGATAAAAGCAGCATTAAAACATGCAGGCAAAAGCTACAGAGATATTTCACTGTGTTGCATAAAAAAAAGGAAACATGATGTTTGTAAATTAACTGAAATATTTTGACAATCATCTTCAATGCATAATATTAATTTCAATGAAGTCACATCCAAGAAAAAAGAAAGAGTGTCACCTGAACTCCCCAACCCAAGCCAAATGAAGCAATGGCAGAAGGAGCTGACCAAGAACCATCTTTCCTTCGAGCAACAACCAGCCCAGTACCTACTTTGTAAGTCATGACAGTACCAACTTTGGCGACAGTGAGAATGGCAAGGCCTTTTGCCTGCTTCAAAATAGCATCCGGGATGCACTTTTCATTTGACATAGAGCCCATCTGTACATTATTTTCATGAATATGCTATTGTTTTAAATAGAGAAAGAAAACAACAAACTCCATCAATGCAATAATTTTAATGTTTTTCATGATATTACATTAATTATGCACAAAGGTACACAACACACACTACAGCCAAAGAAAATATACATGTAAGTTAGTACTTATGCAGTTTCAGTGTTTCACCACACTAGCACAACACAATATTTACCAAAATCAACATATGAAACAAATCCCAGCACTTATTTTAGATGGATAACACAAGCTGCATATTAAGTTCACAAGCTCAATCCTACCTGAAGTGGGACGAAAGTAAGAAATTTACTACTACTCCTTTTGTCCCAGAATAACAGGCACAGTCAACCTTTGCACACATGCCGATGCATTAGTTTGACCTTATTTTTTTATGATTAAATATAAATGAAAATTATATTAAAAGTTATATTATGAAACTTTTTATTAATACCTATCTAACAACATATTTTAAGACAAAATTTGTTTTTATTATGTTAGTAAAAAATCATAGTCAAATTTAGTATATAAATAGTGAAAAAAAAAAAGTCCAACATCTCAGGGAGTAATATATTATTAAAAAAACACATTCATATGTGTAGATACCTTGTTATAGCTTTTGAGTGCATTTGTTGCCTTGTAAATCTCATATTCCATGGACTGGCCCCAAGGGAAATTAAGCCAAGATCTCAAGGTACTGAGATCTGTCAAATCATGGGTTGGCAACTGTGCAGCACGACTAACTTGGTCCATCAAATACCCCTGCACAGACTCCAAACGCACACCGCACACATCACAGACTCGTTGTGGATCTGAAGTACGGAACTTCACAGGCAATAGGCTCCTCCCCTTTGAGCATTCATTGCAGAACACTCCCCCACAAAAGCGACAGTGATGCCTGGAGCACATAATAGGATGAAAACGAACACTACAAAGCATGCAGGCTGATGCAGAACTGTCAGGAAGCCAACGTGGAGGCTCTGTCTCCAAAATCTCCTGCACGTTCACTATGGTTGCCTCAGTGAGAGTTTGAGCCATTTCCTTCCATGCTTGCTCCAGAAAGTTAGATGTTATCCAGGAGAGTTGTCTTTGATGAAAGTCCCCAGAAGCAATTGCCTTCACCTTCCCACCAGCCACAATCATCATCTCCATAACCACATCCCACATTGTTAGCTCCTTATTTTCTCCAATAAAATGATCCCAATCCATATCTGTGTCGGGCAAGTAGCCCCCATTTAAAGAAGGATTCGAAGCCCATTTTTCATGTTCACTTTCCGGTAGAGGAGGGACAGAGACAGGAATCCAAAACCCAGTTTCCTCAGAAACAGGGGCATCATAAATGAAGATTTTGCCATGCTTCTTATGGCCAGTGACTGCATTGTGTATGACATCATCATTCATCTCGGGATCTGAAGAAGACTTTATTTCAGAATGCACTGTCTCTCTCTTCTCTTCTTCCCCTACTTCATCAGCTACTCCATTCTCGCAGTTTTTTACACATCTCTCATCCTCTTTAACCTAACCATGCACAAGCATTACCATTCAAGTCAACTAAAACAGGTAATATTGACGACACCGGAATATTTCTACATATATCACAGTAAATTACAAGTGATGCCTTGTAGCAATTGTCATTATATACACTGCTAATTGCATACAAAACAGCGCTTCACAACTCAACCATGAGACTGTAGACAATTAATTTGCATCTAAATTCATTCTTTTATTCTTATTTGAAAGTCTAAGACTTTGAATTCATGTTTGTTTATGGCTGGACTGAACCAGAATTTCATACTCAAGAGCGAATACTTAACCTGCCCCTTAAAACACGGGGTAATGGACGTGTTGGCAAAATAAAACAATCTCAATTCCATCCAATATAGAATTAAAACTACTACCTCCGTTTTTTTTAGTTGCAACTTTGGGGTATTATTTGAGAGATATAAAATATTCCAAAGTTGCAACTAAAAAAATCGGAGGTAGTAGAAGTATTTCAAGATGATCATAATTTTCAGTTTTTTCACACTTATAAGCTTTTTAAAAACAACCAAAGTATTATAATTGTAATCAGCAATTCTCTACAATACCCTAAACATAATGATCAAATTAGAACCCTAAAATAATCAACACCATAATTCTACCAAATCACAACACTAATCAAACCAAAAACATACCCCCTTTCATCACACAATATTTACTCAATCAATCAATCAAAAAGTTGCAACGAATTGCATAATATCATCAATCAATCGGAACAATTAAATTTCTGAATAATCAAAAATACATGTAACAATTTACATAACAATTCAATAAAAGTGACACAAATTCAACAACAAATTCAAATTACCAGCGTAGGAAACGCGCGAGGTTCATAATCATGGAGTTCAATCTTAGGGTATCGAAAATTGCTGCTCTCAACTGACGAAGAAGGTTCGAAATTATCTTCCATGAATAATTCAATTAAATTCGATGAACAACCATAGGAGTCAATGATTACTTCTGTGCTTTCGTCTTCAGCTTCTGCTGATTTTATTTCCAGAAAAAGAAATCATAAGTAACTGCAAATTAATTGGATTTTGTCAAGAAAATTGGGAATCTAGGTTAAATTTGATTGAAATTAGATTAGACGAGATGGAATTTGTTGAAATTATAATGATGAATATGATGTTGCTTTAAATGATAGAATTTAGAGTAGTTTTAATGGTGGAAGGAAACAAATTTTGGGTAGAGGGAAAGAGAGCCCAAATAGACTTGATCATTTGACGTGGCCCTTACATTAACCCAACGCTTTGTTGTTTCGAGTATTTTGGCTATCGAGTCAGGGGTGTTTGTTCGCTTTTCGATTTGGATTTAAATCAGTTTTAATTTGATTCAAAATTTACTTTATTTTACCTTATTTTTGCTTAACTTAAATTATTTTTATTGAACTGAAATTATTTTTGCTGAACTGAAATTATTTATACTGATTTTCTATTATAATTCTTCTTTAAGAAAACTAAATTTACTAAACTAAACTTTTATACTGAACTAAAATTATTTTTACTAAACTGAAATTATTTTTACTGAACTGAAGTGATCAGTACCTTAGTTTTAATTTTTAAATTCAATCCAAATTAATTTTGGTTTTTTTTAAAACATTCGAAAATTCAGATTAAATTTTGGTTATTTAGATAAATCCGAAATTCGAATTAAAATATGTTGTTAATTTTTAGGGTCTAATGAGAAAATTTAAGTTTTGAAGACATAGATGTACATGATTACTAAACGTACTTGCGAGTTACAGTGTGGAATTCGCCATATGGAGGGTACAACGTAATTAAGTGAAATCAAGAGGGTTACTATGGAAAAAAAAAAAACCTTTTTTTTTTGTAAGAACATACCATAATTTTAATTTTTAACTACCTTCCTTTATTTTTATCAAGAATTTCCACATAAAAAGTGCCTCCTAATTTTATTTTATTTTTTTTCCTTAACACTTGCAATAAAAAAAATAATAAAAATAAATAAATAAATTGAACATGCCCCAAGCATGCGAGGAAATAGCGATAAACTTCCCCAACAATGCCAACCTGCTAGAGGGTATTCGCAATTGCAACGTCAAGGTCACAAAAGTTCATCTCCCACCGCCCATCGGGCTAGACGCCTAGACTTGCATAGTTGCATGTACTACAAAGACTAATAAGCCTAAAGTTATTAGGCCCTGCAGGGAAAACATACAGTATACAATATAGAACTTATATTACAAATATTGTACAGTATGAAGACCTTAAAGCAGACTCTGCAAGAGATCACCACAACGCATCGTATTCAATTCATTGTCATTAAAAAACAAGTCTTAAGCCCCCAATTTTCACTCGAATTCAAATTTACACAACGTTCACAATCTTAAAATCAGGTCTATATACAAAGCACCATGGTTCAGCCACAACACCAACATTTTAATCATCTACAGGGTCTTGAGGAGTCTCCTCTGCACTCCGTTTGATTGTAATGACAGGGCATTCAGCATGCTTGACACAAAACTCACTGACAGTACCCACAAATACCCTGCATAGCAAACAGTCAAAACCACGTCTTCATACTTCCAAAGTAGAAAGAAATTAAGAAAAACTACTATCTGGAATTTGATTAGCCCAGACTACAACAGATTATGAATTTTAATGACTACTCCATGTCTCCATTCCAAAAAATCTATCACTGTTTGAAAGTGGGAAATTTGTACTACGAACTACGTTGCAAATTAGTATGATAGAACCAAAAAAGAGTTTTAGTCAAAAATAAAAATAAAAAATAAAAAAAATAGCCCCCAACCCAAGATAAGCTTCTCTCCCTCTAATTCTTGGTCCAGCAATTCAGTCAAGAAATCCAACCCCTCGTCATGTTGTCACCCAACTAGGTCCACCAAGCACAAGGAAAGGGATAAAAAACAAAACAACAAAGCATTAGCCAGACAATCTGAAGCAACTGCCAAATCATGTCAGTACAAAGGCCAGATTGAACAAAATAATTTTGGAGTGGAGATGATTTTACTTTAATGAAGACTTAGGGAAGATATTTTGGTCCATGTAGCACTGGGTAGCCAATAATAAAGCCGCTGCAAATGTTAAACAATCAATGGCTAGTAGCACTGCAGTAAATGAAATTATGAATGTGGTGCATCTAGGGATCAAGGCTTGAAAAGAAGGCAGTTTTCTGCAAATGATGGCTCAGTTTGGTGTGAAGGGGTCAATACTTATGACCTAAAAAAAAAATTATGAAAGCATTGAAAATTTCAGATGTAGAGTAGTGAATATTTCTTCCCTTAAATTATAATAAGACTGAAAAGCAAAATCCACAGTAAATATTAGAACGAAGGAGAAAAATCAAGAAAAAAGAACCCCAGAGAGTCTAGCATACCTCTGGAAAGGTCCAAGTCCCCTGCATCCCACAACAAGGAAATCAGGCTGAACCCGCTTCACCTCATGGCAAACAGTTTCTTGTGGATCACCCTTCCGAATCCAAGCTTCACAAGCAATCTGCAAGAATCATTTGAAAGCCAACAAAAGCATATATTAAAAGAATGATATACCAAAAGAATTGCCCAAATATCAGCAAGCCTACTCAAAGAAACCAAAAAATCATGTAAGGATGATGAGTTCAGAGGTTGAAAAGATTTCACTTTACCCCTATTTCATGACATCTTTGAACAAAGTACTCCAAGAGATGAAGTCCTTTATTCTTTTCTTTGGCTTTCATGCTTTTGAAATCATCAGGTGATGCAAATATGCTATCCATATCATCAAATCCTAAAAAGAACACAATGTCAAAAAAAAAAAAAATCAAAAAAATTATGGGATATTCCTTCAAAATTCATCATAGGTATTAAATTATCTAAAGAAGATGAAGAAGCAACCTATATATTTATACCAAGCAGAAAGAATAAATAAAAAATTAAAAAAATATATCTTTGCATAGACATTAGGGAATAGATTAGGTTAAACAACTGTGCATGCATATAAATTATTATTTGCTGATACACTCTCAATGGTCAATGGTGCCACTTGTTTTCATAATGAATGTAGTTTCAAAAGAAAAGCCATGTGCAAAACATCCCAAAGTCACCACCCCCCTTCGTGTGATGATAAAAATTTCATACCAAAATCAGAATCAAAAAGGAAGAGGTGATGTGTGTCCTTTGGACATCATAAATTAGGTGGTGCAGATAATATACTGTGCAGAGGGATGAGTAATAAAAAGCTTACAATATAACTTCATAAGTTGTGCGTGATAGAAGAAAAGTGAAAGCACAAATTGATGACAAAGCATATTTGTAAATTGTCAAAATATTTCTTGTGTCCCAATGTATATATGATAATCCAAACAATACAGATAATCCAAACGATACAGATAGAAGTATAGAACTGCAAACATATCATTAAATGCTTCAAATAAAGGCAGCCTTAACGCCCTTAAGCTAAAACATAGGTCAGTATATGATTTGTAATGTAGGTCATATACAAAATGCCAAAAAAAAAAAAAAAAAAAAAAAAAAAAAATTATAGCCAGAAGAACAAAAGTATGATTAAATACATAAAATTTGCCCCTAAAATGCGCAACAAGTCTACAACACCTTTAAAACATCTTAATTAGATAAATCAGTAATCAAATACAATAAGAAACAAATATTTAGGAGTATGAGAGAAAGAGAGTACCATCTTCATCAGGGACTTGCACATGGAGAAAGAGGAGCTTGAAGCCAGGAATATTGTCTCGCACGATCTTTTGGAGAGTCCATTCAAAAGCACCTTTGGAGCTAATGGAGGCATGAGGATAGCCTTTAATGCTGGATTGGTTCACCCCTATCAGCACTCGAGTTGGCTCGCTCCCACTCATCCTTTCTCTTTTCTCACTAGCAAAGAAGTCTCTGTAAGAGTACGTTTAGCTCAATAGTTGGAGGCAGAAAGAAAAGAAATCATACAAGGAGGGAATCAAATAATATGCAGTTTTTGGTTCAATTGCAGGACAGAAAACAGCAATAATATTTGTTACTTCTAAGAGTAATATGACTATGGAATACATCACTTGAACTTTAACTAATTATGATTCTATCTTGTATCCTTATTTGGGTCTCAAGATAGGGAAAAGAAACCAAATCCATATAGCCCCTTAGCTTTATGACTAGTTACAGAAACAAAAAACACTAAATAAAACCATTCAACCCCATATGCTATTTATGCCTAACAAGCAGAAGCAGAACAAACTAAACACAGTAAACAGATGCAAATTAATGCTGGTCAATTGTCAAGAAGTTAGAACAAACTACATTAGCATAGCATGCAAATGCTTCACGAATCTCCACGGTAAAAAATGAGACTGTCTATAATGCAACAGCTCTTGAATCTCTAATATAAAATTTGCAATTGAAAATCCGAACAATTGTTTACAACTCACAAAAATTCCAGATGTAAACACAAAATTACATACAATTAACATAAGGGGAAATATAGCAAAGAATAAATACCAGATACGGAGTAACTAAATTCTGTTATACCATTATAGTGTAGAGGGAGAAAGGAAAATAATTCAGTATACTGCATTTCTATAGAGTATATTCTGAGGCAATCAAACTCCAAACTCTAGAGATTCCCATCATTCTTAAAAGAAAACAATAAGGAAATGGTGTAATATTGCCTACATTAGAATAGTGGACTATTTAAGCACTTAAGCTAGAAAAACGATAGATATTTGCAACGAAAAGGGTAACTAGACTCGTACATTTGTATTCTAATTCTGATTCAACTTGTAAATTCTGCTACATTCATAAGCTTGTCAAAATCATCAAATATACATCATAAATGTGTCAAGATACAGCTGTCTCCGACTAGGTTTTCTCATTTTAACCACAATTAAGGTGAATTAACCCGGTAATTGCCTCGATATAAGTAGACTAATGTTCTTGTTTATGAATCATTAAGAAACTATGAAAGCTACACCAACATGGAAATCAACAGGTACAGAATACAACCTCGAATAGTAATGTAAAACCTTAATTAAACCCTAACCAAAAATGCGGCGAAATAGGCAACAACATTTGAGCATAAATTTCAAGAAAGCAAGATAATCTTTACATACCAGCAACTAAAATCAATCCAAAGAGCAAATTAAAAAAGAAATTAACAAATTAATCAAAATTAAATAATGAATAACAAGAACAAAATCCATAAATTACGACAAATAATCAAAAATCAACAGAAAAAACAGCAAAATTAACTCAAAACCTAGAAGAAATTAAGATAAGCTAGTTAATCATACAAAGATCAAACAACAAATAAAAAGTTGATTAAATAAATGGAAACTTACAAAGGATTCCAGAGCAAGTAAGAAAGAACTCAAGAAGAGAGAAAATCAAAATAGAATTGATGAAGAAATTAAAGAGAAATCTGGGTTTTTGGATTATTATGAAGAATAAAAATATGATTATGTATGATGTTCTGGCGATAGGGCCCAGAAAGAGGACGGTTTAACGTTTACAGAAGCAAACTATTTCAAATTCATTAACGACATTTTCTGGAGTTTTTTTATTTTATTTTTATTAATACAAAGTATTCATTACTTGTATTTATTACAGTATTTATTTATTTATTTATTTTGATTCTAATATTTAATTCTGGACAGGGAAGCTTGTTCTTGTGAAACAATTATAATTAATTTAAATTTGTAATAAAGGATATAGATTGCCGCCTTGTGGTGACAACGTGGCATGCATAAAAGCCTCCAACGACATCGCCAATTCGTCATTAGCTAACATAAAACTACAAATTTAATATCGTTGATACAAACCGAAATACTCCATCTGTTTCATTTTGTTAGTCTCATATACTATTTTGGGCGTTTCAAAATGATGTACCCACATTGAATATTTCCTAACATTATTATAAGTTGAATAATTTTCATAATCCATGAACAATTAATCTAATTGGGTGTTTGAAGAATCAAATAATTTTGATTGGTTAATGTATGTGCTAGAGGATTGCTGACATGGCAAATTTTGGAATCAAAATTTATAATAGGCGATTAATTATAGCCAATAACCATAAATAAAACAAGAAAAGACAAAACATTAATAACAATCAAATTCCAAATTACTAAGATTCCTCTTTTTCTTATTTTAAGTGATTGAGTCCAAAGGGGACTAACTAAGTGAAACGGAGGGAGTATTAAAATAATTAGTACTCACAATATATAACTATACTCAATATTAATTATGATGGTTGTCTTTTCTTAATTATGATTGAATTTGTATATAATTGAGAGTAAGGGCCTATTCTGATTGACTGAATTGAGCTGAACTGAACTAAATTGAAGCTGAACTGAACTGAATATTACAAGTATATTTTATGAGAGAAGGAAATTAAGATAAAAACTGAACTGAACTGAACTTATTGGAGCTGAACTGAACTGAAAATGAAGAGAACAGTCCCTAAGTATACTCCGTATAATAGATTGTAGGTTCAATTTACTCATCATAATCGATTAATTGTATTGCCTTAAGGGGATTATTCGATGAGAATAGGTTTTTATGTGAGAACGCTTTCTTATACTTACTCCATTTTTTTACTATTGCACCATACATGTTGGGCACACATTTTTTGTAGTGGGAAAAATGAGGAGAGAGAAGGGTAAAAGTACAAAAAAGCCATGTGATGTAAACATAAAGTAAAAAAAAATCAAGTGTTAAAAGTAAGGGTATATTAGATATTTACAGTGTGAACACACATATTTTGTTTCTTTAATTGAATATGGTGCAATATTTGTGAAATTTTCTTTGAAGGCAAGTGGTGCAATAATAAAATTAAAGAACGGTGGAAGTATGAGATTTGTTGCTCATTTTTAAATGAATAAAGAATTGTTGCTCATATCAAATGAGCAAAAAATTGTTTGCTTAAGTGCCAAATGAGCAAAGAAACAAAGAAGTGTTTGTTTGTTTGATAGATGAACAAAAAATTGTTACTCATTTTATGCATGAGGAAAGAATTAGCCGAGCTTGTTTCCACTAATTTATTTACGTTGTAAGAAATTAGCCGAGCTTGAATAAGTTTTGAGATCCCGTTTAACAAACAAATTGAATCTCAAACAAAGGTATATATACTTTTTTTTTTTGAAACGTGGCCCAAAGGCACTTAGCTTTCATTCATAGGGGATTCAAGTTCCACAATAGAAACAATACAACTCGGAAAATCCAAAAACCAAACTCTACTACTAACACCCCATGGCAAGCAATGTGCAAGCTCATGAGCTACTTTATTACATTCCCTATGAACAAAGCTCAACGAAACAAACTCAAACGAACTACGAACACATATGCAATATCAAATGAAGACTACTTCCGCCTCTTTATTGAGACTTGATTGTGATAAAAAAAAATCCTTGGCAATCACTCTCCACCATAAGCCACGAGAACCCCGCATTTATAGCAACCTGCAGCCCCAAAAGCACTTCTTTTGCCTCTGCTATAACAGGTTCCCACCTTTCCTCAAACCTCCACAAAACAATTAACCAACACCAATTGCCCCTTGTCACTCCGAACAGCAGCTCCAGCAGAAGCCCCTAGCCCCTTAGTAGACCCTCCAACCACATTAAGCTTGAGCATGCCCTCCCTTGGTGGCTTCCATTTTTAATTTGTCGAGTCGAAACCCCACCTAAACCCTACCCTTTATCCTCTTTTTGTAGTTGATTGTGTGGGATTGCACGCCTCACCCTCGAAATTCCAATGATTCCTCGCTGTCCAAATCGCCTGGAAGATAGTAAAGAACAGCCCATACTCATCACGATATGGATGCAAGCAAGAGAAACCTGCATCCAATCAATTATCTCCGTACAAAAGCCATTATCCTCTAACTTTAAATTGCACCAATGCCAAATCAATCTAGCAATCACACAGTGACACAGTCACGAAGAATATTTAGCTTAGTCTCGGCTTCCACCCAACAAATGCTACACATGAATTCATTTGCTAAGCCCCCAGGCCACAATGTTGGCAAAGCACCCCTACACGCCCTCCACACATTAAAATATAAAATACAATCTTGGCAAAGTTACAGCATTTCAAATTTTGTTCCAATAGAAATTGAGTTTGAAGCCGAAGTACCATGCTCCCCATCATACTCCCCAAAGATCGCCCTATATGCTGACCGAACTGAGTATTCTCCATCCTTTTCTAAATCCCAGCAAAACTCATCATCAGGGAGCTTAAAGCTCAACAGAATAGCAAGGATTCCTTCACATTCAAAGGGAAGGAAAATATCCTTTATAAGCGTGAGTGCGTGACATACCACGATGCAGTAGGAAGGTGGATAAGGTCACAAACTTTCATATCCCGCCTCGATTATCACATGGAGAATTAACCATCCTAGATTGGTTGTTTGGTATCCACGGGCTCCTCCACTCTAAGATGTGCAGCCCATCCATCACCTACTCTCCACCGAATACCCCCTTTGCACCACCCATCTCACCCCCCATATTCCACTCCATGAATAACTCGGATTAGCGCCCAACTCCAAGTTTAAGTAATCACTTCCCTGAAATATGGAGCACTCATAATTCAGTCAATACGGATCTCCGGATACTTAATCAATCTCCAAGCCTGTTTTGCTAGTACGCTGCATTAAGGAGCTGAAAAATCTCAAAAACCCAAACCACCTGCCCCTTTGGGCTCACACAACTTCCTCCAAGCAAGCCAATGAATCTTTCGCTCCCTTTTCAAGTTTGACAACAAAGACCGCAACTTATCATAAAAAGAAGAGGGAAATTTGAACACACTCATGGTGTAGGTTAGGATAGATTAAGCAACAACCTTAATCAGTACCTCCCGACTTGCCTTAGATTACATTCTCCCCTTCCGCCCTTGTTGTCTCTTCCATAATATTTCACGAACACCCTTAGTAATAAGCACCCTCTTCAACCTCCCAACAACATTTGGGAGTTTGAGATACTTCCTGCTATACCCCTAATCAATTCGTCGACTCCCCCCTCCTTATCTCCGGCACTCCCTTACTAAAAGACAATCGTCTTACTAAAATTCACCATTTGCCCCGACGTTGCCTCATAAGTATGAAGGATCTCTATAGTAGTACAACAAATGTGAAATTGAAGGATTCATTGATGTCACTCTAATATCATGCAAGCTACCATTCTCCACCGCTCTATATAACAAACCAGATAATGCCTTAGCTCACAGAATGAACAAATATGGGGATATATATGATCACCTTGCCACAAAATCCCTATAAGGGGTAAACTCCCCCGAAGGTGCACCATTTATCAGATCTGAAAACGAGACTGTAGAAATACAATGCATAACACTATTAATTCACATCTATGCAACTTCCATCTTCACCTACCATTACAGGCCTAAAAAAAACCTAACTCCACTCTATCATATGCATTAGCCATGTGTAATTTCAGAGCCAAAGAACCACCTGTAATAGTCGAATTTTTCATATGGTGAATCACTTCAAATGCCACTACAATGTTGTCTGTAATTAATCTCCCTAGAGTAAAGGTATGTGCTTTAGTTCAGAGAAGTAAGGGTGGGTTCTATTCACCTGATTTTCACTTATCCGAACTTACCTGAACTTATTAGAACTTATTAAAACTTATTTTAGTTGTAATTTGTACTTGGGTAACCCTTATCGGAACTGATTAAATCTGATCTGAACTTAAACGAACTTATTTGAACTTATTACACCTTAAATAAGTGAAAATAAGGTGAATAGAACAGACCCTAATATTATAAATAAATAATTTCAAACGATTAGCAAGCACCTTATATTATTAATCAATTTATACACCACATTACACAAACTAATCAAACGGAATTCAATCAACACAATAAAAATTTTATTAGGTTCTCTCGAAATAACCTCACCATTTAGAACACCCAACACAAGATTTGTGACAGCCGAACCAACAATACGCCAATAAGTTTGGGAGAATAAAGGGCACATACCATCGGTCCTTGTAATTCGAGTAAGATTGTCATGTTGCAAAAACAGATATGGCAGAGCCTTGATGTCCAACGCTAATGGTCTGCGCATCGTCTTTGCGAGAGCATCTGGATAATCGAGAATGCGACGTGGCATATCCGAAAGCCCTAAAAAATGCAATTTTAAAATGTTTGAAATTCAATCAAGGATGTTAATTTAGCTCATGTGGATTAATTTTAAGATTTTCATATGTCAAAAGCACGAATCTTGTTTATGAGAGACGCTTGTTTATAAAATGGATCATTTATCAATCTAATCCTATATGAACTTTGTTCAATTAAAAAAACAAGTCATTTACAAGTTGTTCGGTAACATTTAAACTTAGTAGATGAACAAAGCTCAATAGATTTTTTGAGGGCTCATGTTCAATCTCGCTTAATTAATTTAACTCACGTCTTAATCTACTACTTTCTCCGTTCTTTTTTACTTGACATACTTAAAGTTATTGATTGTTAATGATTTGCATTGGCAAGCGTGAAAAAAGAAATAGGTCAAGTAAAAAAGAACAGATGAAGTATGTATTAGAGAA